CAGCGGGAGCTGCCCACCCCCACGAGCCATGGCTCCATCTCGCATCCGCCCCACCCCAGCTGGGCAGTGCCTGCCCTTGCCCCCTTCCTTCCTCACAATGGGAGGCGCTGACCTGCCCCCCAACATCCCTTCCACCACAACAGACTTACCAGCTGCACACTGCCAGGCTGTGCTCCTTGCTGCCTGCGCGCTGCGCTGTGGCTGTGCACATGCATGGGCATTTATTGGCCAAATTATCAGCCACCGTGAACAACGCGTGCCCCCAGAGCAACCGCCCGCAGGTGACAGTGTTGACAGCAGGGGTATAGCGGCAGCAAGTGGAGAGTTGAGCGGGCTGAGTGGGGAGCTCCTGCAGGCAGCAGCAGGGGTGGGGTTTGGTGGCGATGGCCAGCAGTGATCAGGGACCGCCTGCAGACACCATCGGCGGTGGCGGGAAATTGGGGTGGTGAACAGCAACCACTCACAGATGCCACCGGCAGCGTCAGCAACGCTTTTCACAGGGGTGCACATGCATCCACATGCACCCCCTACATATTGCCAATGTCAACCACTTCAGGCCAATTTCTGACACAGTCAATTTTCTTTATATTGGTACCAATCCAATATTGGACCAATGTATCAGTGCACCTCTAAGGGTTATAAAAGAAAACTTTTATAAATTACTTCACAAATGGTACCTATATTCAAATAGGTAGTAATACATATTTTCTAACAGTGATGCAACATGCTAGAGAGAAAGAAGCTCCTTGTTCTGTATGTAGTGGTTGTACCCAGAGGTCCAAATACTCTGGGAGCAAGGGACCAGAGTAATAACTATTGTAGTAGTTGGAAATACTCCTTTTGATTAACTGATCTGTCTACTGAGTACCTCCATAAAGAAAATTTACTTAGTGAAGAATGAAGAACTGAAAATCTACTTGTTAGCTGATAGATTACGCTCAGATGTTCAAGGACTCATATCCATCACTTGCAACACTGAAAATGTAGTTTGCTACAATATAGGACTTACTAGAGATGGAGAAACTGTCCCATCAGGTTAGATTATTAGACAAGAGACAGAAGAGGAATGGATATTTAAAAATATGGATTCATTCTTGATTTATGCAGAGAACAAAAAACTCACCCGCAAGTAACTCAGAGTCTCTAGCCAGAACATCTGAGTATCAATGACTATTACTGAATGTCATATTACATTTATAAATCACTATATTGAGAGGTGATCATTTATAAGAATTATCAGATATTATACCCTTTGTAAAGATGTATTAACTTCAAGCACATAGAATAAATACACATGAATTGCGTGTTGAAGTTTTTTCTGTAGTTGCCCAAATTAAAAAAAAAAAAAACAAGTTTAAAAGAAAAAGAAAGAAGCTCTGTGTAATGTGGATTCAGATTCTTACCTCTTCCCAGCATGTCAGCTCTTTGTCCTGTAGGCCAATCGTCCACATATCATTTAATCTAAAGTATAATTTTAAAATATTCAGATATTAAATGGATTAACATTGTAATTGCTTATTTTAAGCTTCTGGGGTTGTAAGAAGAAAAGACCTAAGTCAGCAAGAACAGTCCAAATCTTCTAACACAGTAAGAATTTCCTTAACTGGAGACAGATGGGTGGAATAAACACAAGATCTGCTCAAGATTTTTGTACTTTCTATGATCACCCCTTGTGAACCTGGGACTATGCTGCACCAATCTAGTTGCTTCTGTGCTACAGCAAACAGCATTTCAGAGCAGGTCTGCTCTGAATTAGAGAATGTGGGGGGGG